AAAGTGGTCTGTTTTGCATTAGTGTATTCTTTCCTCAGTCTGAATTGATTCTCATTTACCTGAGTCGAGTCACTCAAGTTAATAATAACTATTGAGAGCACATTAATGTATATTGTAGACCAGCAAGTGTATGCTGTTGAATAGAAGCTGTTGATTTCCAATTCAAATGACAGCCATGTGAAATCACTTTACAGTATCTATGTTCTTTAAAAGCATTAATTTGATCAAAGGCCAAGTCCCTCTGAACTCTTCCCCCCTCTCCCTATCAGGTAATGGCTTTTCCCCTCAAGCAAAGCCCACAAGTCGGAGAACACATTACCATTAATTACCTCGTACAGTTGGTCAAGAGCTAGTTCATTTGATCTGCATTTAGCACTTGGTCTGATGGAAAGAGAGATGCAGCCATTGAGTTAATAGACAAGCTAGCAGATCCTTCAAAAAGGATAATGAGTTTTTTACCCTTGACTGCCACTTTCCAGAGATACTTCAAGCTGCTGTATGCTTATATCACAAAAATCATCGCTCTTTCAGCAATGCAAGCTTGGATGTATGTACTGCAATAAGGCCCTAATTTTCACAAAGCAGGACCCCCGACGCAGGTTGAGGTCCAAATGCCTTGATTCTGACTTACATTTAGCAGCACATCTTTCAAAACAGTGTGTGTTTTCAAACAGACCTACCACTGCTGTGATTTGTCTATTCAGAAGGAATACACAAAAGGAAGGATAGAAAACAGCAGGAAGTGAAGTTTTAAACTTTTACTGTTGCTGCTTTGTTGTAAATATGTTCAGGATGGATACATTCCTGGCTGTAAAGTGACAGAAACTTTAATGGCAGTGTGTGTACTTTAGTGTACAGTATGTGTGTGTACGTGCATCTGTACAAGAAGCGTAATTGTGTTTCTAACAAAGGTGACAAAATTGCATTGCTCCATGTAATAAGGCCTCTCAATGTTACAAATTAAATCAGCCAGAGGTTGACATGTTGTGAGAAATGGTTAAAGACCTCATGCGATCATTTTCCTGTGCCTTTATGTCGGAGGAATTCTCATTTCATACCTACTTTTCAGTAAGCCTCTCTTCCACAGTCCACAGCTTGCAACGCCTCAGTTCACCTCCGGGCTACTCATTGATTAGTTTCAATGGATCAAGGGCCAGCTCGTGTTTTCCCTGTGTGAAAAGAGCCTTGCTTGTTTGCCAGCTGTCATGTATTGACCACTCCCAAATGCCAACTCCTGTGAGACTATGACATGCCAGAATTATTTGTTATTTTGTACTAGTTTGGATAGATTTGCACTGATGTATTGAGCAATTTAAACTGATTTGTTACATTTACACATGTTACATTTTGATATTTGTGTTTTTGATGCGGACTTGTCAATGTAGATGATATTACACAATTAATTTCTTGTCAAATAAAATTAATGAGCAAAACAGAAGATGAAACATAGTGACTGAAAGAAGACATGACAACACAAAAGTACTGAAATACTTTTTTTGCTCATTAATTCATTATAATACCAACTCACCTGACTAAAGAGTTATTTCCGCTGTCACATTCTCAGTTGTGGCTAATTTCAGCAAATATTAGTAAGGTGTGATAACTTGGCCTGCAAACAAAACAGCAAAGACTTCTGTCTATTTCCATCTTGTTGGAAGACCATTCTCATTTAATATGAAGTGTTTCATGTTTTGTATAACTTTGGGCAGTGGAAACACAACACGAGCGATATTCACGTTCTTTTAGCTCCAGTTTGCATTCACCCGCTAGTCGCTTACGTTGTCTGTCTGCCATTTGGTGTTGGACAGGTAGTGTATAGTGATGTTTTAGAACTTGCATCTGATAACAGTGCTTATAAGAGCTATGAGAGTGAACCAAAACAGTGGTCCATAAAACCAAAACAATGAGCTGAAAGGCACTGAAGCGCTCCATAAAGCTGAGGGGGACTGCAGCGTTGGTTCTGTGGGTTTATCGCTACTGGTGACCAAATTTGTATACAGCATATGTAGTCATTTGATCCATTATTAATGTAAAGATATTGATTAGCGCAGCTTTAAAGTCCAAAGATGTACCACGGCTATTCTTGGATGTAAGACATGGCAATGGTCAAATTACACATCAGAAGGGCCTAATATGTTTAGTTGTGATCTTGACAGGAAATCACGTTGTAACCATTAATTTAAACTTGCTGCTGTGTCGAAATAAATCTCCATCACAGGGTTTTCCTCAGGATTTGAAGTGTTGATCCTCAGACAGAGAGAAGTCCAGAGAGCTGAATGATGAATATTAATGAAAGAAGGGTTTTATATTTGAGTTTTAAAAAAATCTAAAACTTATAAAGCCTTATATTTCCCACCATAAGGGTGTGCCTTCTTTGAGGGAAACTCTGTGGGCACCGTGTTTAATGATGACTGCATTGCTGAAGCCATTTATAGTATAAGTTTGGTCAGATAACGAGTGAGAAATGTTTCCCACACAATGAAGACATAAAAATTAACTCTCCTATCATCTGAAAATTACAGTGGCCCAGAGGTGTCAGGCCAAATACAAAGGCCAGAACACGAATACAAAAGCCACAACGGAAGTGAACGGTAACGGATGCTCATTTATGACAATCACGTAGTGATAGTTATCATAGTTAGCTAGAGAACAACGTTTCACTTACTTATCACAGGGGCAAGAGCTGTCTTCTTCTATGAAATAGTCCGCCAGCAACAATCCACCTCATTGTCAACATCCGTTACCGTTCATTTCCGTTGTAGTTCACTTCCGTTGTGGCTTTTGTATTTGTGTTCTGGCCTTTGTATTTGGCCTGACACCTCTGGGCCACCGTAGAAAATGACTGTAATGACTGCTTACCTTGAACATGCTTGCGTGTCCTCAAAAGATTGTTTTACACTCTTAATAAATCACACTCTTTCAAAAAACACATTAACTACAACTCAAATTCATTACTCACTGCAGAGAAATATCCCTTGCATCCCTACACATAAAATTTTAATTGAATTTGTGCCTTTGATTTTATTTAACTATCCAAATAATATACCAGAGATCATATTAAGCTGTTGTTAGCTGTACGTGCTCAAGAGGGAGACAGTTAAGAGCATGAAGAAATGAATATGTCCTTTGTCCACAACTTTACAATCACACAGAGAGGAGTACAGCCTCGGATGGCCTTTCACTGCTGCTCTCTGCTTCTTACCAAAGCATTTTCATTTGCTTGTAGACTCTGGCTTGCTCTGACATTGCCCCATGATGATATCAGATGAGTGGATATGTCTCATCTTTGCAAGCTAGAGTTAGTTGTTGTTTATTCAACTGTGTGATCAGCAGGGAAAAGGTCACTTCAGACATGTTCCAGCTCTGTATGCACATCTTATTCTGATACGATCAGGCGTGAAGTTACAGCTTTACCTGCAGTTTTACTCTTTAATGAACAGTCTCCAATACATTGAACTTTCAGCCAAGTTGTGCTTAATTGTATTTTTTGTGCCTTATTAATTTCAAACACTTACGGGTAGGTTACCTTTATCTGTTTTCTCTGTTTAGTTGTTAATGTAATCTATTTAACTGGGGAACCTTTGTCCTAACACAATATACTTACATTAATTAAAAAGCCTGCTCTCAAACATCTGCTGCTCGTTTCATGGCGTTTTCTTTTCTAACCTGAGCGTAGACCTATAGAGGTGTGTTACAGTTCATATAAACGTTTGTTGTTCATGCAGCCTGCTAAAGTATTAAATATTGGCCAGGCTCTTCAGTGATCTTACAAATAGTATTGAAGTCTTGTGGCCAGATGAGTATTGATGCAGTGTTGTTGGATTCAAACATCCGTCTTGGAAAAAGTACATTTATGGTTAGACTGATAAGCCCTTTAATCAGTACATAAAAAGGCATATATATCTCATTTCATTTCTCGCCTGTCTGATAACAGTGAACAGATGATGTTTACTTTGCCTGCTTAATTGCCCATGATGACAATTTGTGTGCTGTTAAAGGTCACGGAATAAATCTAGGATGTAAAACTTGAAATAGAATACAGTCCTCCCAAGTTTCAACCTTGTAAATAAATGTTAAGCATTTGAAGCTACTTTCTAAACGGTGTTCATTATAGCTACATTCAGAGAAAATACGACTCCTTAGTCATCATGGTATGTGGAATGATTAAAATCCCATATAAACAATCTCTACAGCCTTACTGTAGTGGAATTACATTATTTCTTTCTGCATAAAAAATGAGAAGAGTGAATTATCTACTTCCTGTTTTAAATTTGCTTAGCTAAGCCATGTACAAGACAGGCATCAGTTTTTTTCTGATAACATCAAATACATTATTTCATTCATAAATCATTTCTGAGTATAACATGTTGTCTCATCATTCTTTAATGCTCCTGTGGCAAACTGATTTAATTTGGTACGACTTGCACAGTGTATCATCTCTGTAAAGCTACTGCACTGACTCTACATTGCCTCTTTGAAAGCAAAACAACTGACAGATGTTTTGAATACAGTATGTTATAAGTTTATACTTTTGCACATCTCTTGAATCTTGGAACACAAGATTTTAAAGCTTTTAAGCTTTCAAGCTTTTATCATACGGATCAGATATTTACATTAAATAGCACTCACCCTTTTAGAACAAAAAAAGAGTTCACTGACTAAAAGCTGCTCCCAAAGTGTATGGATTTATTAAGAACAATACTGTTGCACTGTAGGCACTCTAGATTAATGGAGGATAGTATGCACAAAATGTCACCTAAGTATTGGTGCTAATAAATCCAGACACCTTGGGAGCAGCTTTCAGTGGATTGAACTTTTTTTGCAGATCTAAAAGGGGGGGGAAAGGCTTTAAATACAGATTCTCAGATTAAATGATCATTGGCCATAGATGGACGGCCCTCGTTCTCATTCATTTGGAAAAACAGCAGTTACCAGGAGGGATAATTATTTCTCTCTCACCCTCACAACCCAGCGTTTCTTTTCCCTTCCTTTCTTCCCAGCTGCCATCCTTGATGACCCTATGGAGTGCAGCAGAGGGGAGCGTTTGGCCATCACGCTGGCCAAAGACAGCATCAACAGGAGCAGCAACCGCTCAACCACTGGCAAGCTGGAGGTGGACATCTTTGAACTGCTAAGAGACAGCGAATATGAGATGGGAGAAACAAGTAAGTCACACAGGGAAGAAATGCTAATTAATTGCTAAGGAAAATAAAGTGTTGATTTGTGTGTTTGCTTATGTGGGTGTAAGTCTGTTGGTCAATATATGGGTACGTGTTAAGTCAGAATTTAAAAAAATATGGACTAAGTAATAAATGTGAGGTGCTGCTGGGTCCAGTCAGCAATCATACCAGCAAAAAAGGGCTCTCTCATTTGGAAATCAGCAAGCCTGTCATTTCAGTTCAGGCCCTTTTGTCTTTTTTTCCACTCAGTCTCTCACTCTTCCCCCAAGTACAACAGAGAGAAGTCTGTCTGGTTTAACAATATTGTGGTCAAACACACATAAGCAAACAAATTATTGAAAATAGATGACAGACTGGTGTGGTACAGGAACAGAAAATGAGCTGTCATATTTTGATCGCTGCAGGAGTCAAACTGTGTTTATATCTGTTTGTTGGGTTGATTCTGTTTTCTTATATATTGGCAACCTTCTTTCTGCAGTGGCAGAGCAAAACAAAATTTTCTCTAAAAAGGAATAGGCAGGGTAATGTAAAAATGACTTAATCTATGTGAAAACAGAGATGACCTTCAACAGAAACAGATAAATCTTTTTAAATGGACCATTATGTGATTTTCAGTAATTTGTCACACAGATGTGAGAAATGACTCACTGAGGGTGGCTCTATTAACACAGGCTGGATACCTATTTGTGATCAATCATATTAATTCTTCTACTTCACAGCTACCCAGAACATCACTGTAGTGCGTGGTGACTTGTTGCTCCACACCAGCGTTCATTGGTTATGTGTTTTAATTTTTAATGAAATCTATCCTAAATCAATACAGCACAGTATGTCTGCACAAAACAACCAATAAAAATAGCTATGACAAGGAGTGTGGGGATTGATTTTCAATATGACACATTCCCACTTTCACAAACCAAAGAGCTTCAGTGGCACCGCTTAATCCATGGAAACACTGCTTCACTTACCACAACAAGCAACTGTATTACTTTCTCTGCCTGGTTTACTACAAAACCCTTCCTAAATGTAGTCCCTCCTGCGTGTTTCTATGCGTGTGTTTGTGTGCATGTTTGTGTGTGTGTGAGTTAGCGTGTGTTGGTATGTGCTTGCTGGATTGTGTGCATATTGTGCAAATGTTTTGTGTGTGTGAAAGTGTGTGTGTGTGTGTGTGTGAAAGTGTGTGTGTGTGTGTGTGTGTGTGTAATTAGAGGCAGGAATTGGATTAGGGATGGATCAGTGGCCGCAGTTAGATGGAAATATCACAGAGGGAGCGCTACCTGCCCAGAATAGTCCAAACCCCCACCTTTCAAGCACCCATGTGTGGTATACAGCTCCTAAATGAATGCCTCCTTGGACTGTTTGCTGCTTTTAAAAGCAGGAAAAAACACACAACTCCAGTTCACAGCCATTATTTTAATGTCATATATTGCATATAAAGCTACATAACACATATAAATGGTTTACTTAAGTGCTGCTGTGTGTGCACCGGAGGAAGCTACCAGCTGAAATTCGAATCGATTAAGATCTGCAGGATGACAACCGCTCCACCAGTCTAAATCTTTGCTAAGGTGCTGAAAGCGTCAGTGTCTCCAAACTGAAATTATAGATTTCCACACACTAAGATCCTACAATATATATTACTTTATTTCGCAAGTTGCAATACTCTTTTGTAGGTCAGATAGACTGACAGCTAAAGTGTTATATTGCATGGATCTGAGTGTGTGGAAATCTTCACTTTCAATCAATTAAGATCTGAACTGAAAATAAAACGTATAAAAAGTTTTTTAACTTGCAAGCGGCATTTTGTGTGTAAGAGTGGACACATGAATGTTGTGTTGTTTCTTGTTTTATTGTCTTTCTGTGTGACCGTTCTTCCCTCCACCAGCAAACTTGCCAAGCATTTCTCAAGTCTAACTCATTACAGCTCTCTAATCATTCCAAGGTTCCAATAGCTTGTATTGATGAGTGAAAATCAATGTTAAGCGGAGGAAATGGACTTCATCTGACCTTCTGACCTTCTGACCATTATTTGACCACAGTGAGCTGCACAGTACTATTCTGACAATTGGTAGCACTAATGGAAACCTTGACACTGACGTCAGTGTCCAGGGCGTGACGGATAACCTGTGGTGAGGAGTTTTGACACAGACTTTTCATGCACATTCTCTGTCTCTCACACATACACACACAATGCTAGCTGTGCAGAGAGGGAGCAAATCAAAGTGTCATAGGGGCCAGGAGCATGTTCGCTTGCAGTCAAATCATTCAGCTTTATAATTTGGTGAAGCCATGCAGACAGGTGCAAATGTGTGTGTGTGTGTGTGTGTGTGTGTGTGTGTGTGTGTGTGTGTGTGTGTGTGTGCGTGTACTGTAAATGTGTGCATACATGTGTATGTGGGTGTTTGTGTAAGGTGTCGGTGTGTTCATGTCTTACAGGCCCCGTGGGTGACTGAGGGATTACTTATTAATCATTCGATTCGCTGCCTCTGGATTCACCGCACAGGCCCACACGTTGCTGGTTAATTCTCTGCATTTGCCCCAATAACCGACACCAAATTATCATCACACACACCTGCTTTGTGCACACGTGAACAGTACATAGTGTCTGTACTTGTGTCTGCTTCACATCATTGACTGTAGCAGTTTAATTAGAAGCCAGGGATTATAAACTCAGAAGAAATGGCGTTCTGTTTTCCAGTATGGGAGATTAAAGCATATGGCCTGTGTACATCAGAGAGGGGTAAAATTCACATTTGCTTAAATGTTTCTGTCTAAAGATGTGTTTTCATCCCCAAAGGTAAAGCCTTTAAATCAGTCCTTGTAAATGTAAAATGTGGAAAAACAAGATGAGATGTGTGTGTGTCACTTTTGGGGATATTATGGCATTCATGTGCAAATGTTCAAATACCAGATTTTATGTTTCAACCCTCCAGATATCTCTGCCTGTCACTATTTCTGTTTCTGTGCCTTTCTTACTGTCTGTCACTCTGTTTATCAGTCTGTGTCTCTTTCCATTTCGATATCTTTCTGTCTCCATATGTGAAAGTCTGTTATATTAATATCAGCTCTCCCCCTAGCTACTAAACACTCATGGGCAAGGTCTATAGGATTTTTCTGCATGTGCATCAGGTCGGGCATACTAAACATGGACAAATGCGTTTGGCGTTGCTCACATTTCACTAGCACATGTAGGTTTAGGTTCCCTTGAGACAGTGGAAGCGCTGCCTCAGACCACTATCTGTTTAGAGGTTGGGATAGTCAGCATGTGCATTCATTAACATCTGACTGAAGAGGGCCTTTTTTAAATGAGTCAGATTCTCCACAACAAAGCCTGTACTCTTCTTTCCTAGATAGAACTGACTGACTTACTTTCTCTTTCTGTCTCTTCTCTCCCCTCCATCCCCCCTCTAATTTCTCTCAGTGTGCCAGATCATGTCTAAAGGGGTGGTGGCAGTCCTCGGCCCCTCTGCCAGCCCAGCCTCCAACTCCATCATCAGCAATATCTGTGGAGAGAAGGAGGTGAGTCGATGCCCCTTACTGGCCTGTAGCCGCTGGCCCATGTTCTGTACAACCAGAAATACAGAGTTTGGAACAATGATGCTCATTAGCCACTGTGCGGTTTTTGTAGGAGATTGAGGGGGAATGAAATCCTTGTTAGTGAAAATGATGAAATACCTCAACAGTGTCATAACTCTATTCCAGTCCCACTCAAATCAAAGCACTGCTGGGCATTTTATTTCCTCCATTCCCCTCATTAGCTTGGAGCGGTTTGGCCCGCTGAGGCTTGGTAGCCATTGTTTTGAGATTTTTATAGAAACAAATACAAACAAAAAAAAGTGGTGCAAGTCTTGTTGCTTTGATCAGTTTACGTGGGTTCACATCAACCAACTCCTGCTGTCCCTACATCTGGTGTTATTTACACAGTAGATGATTTAACAGATGATAATATAATTGATATTATTTTGACAAAATCAATCAGACATATTTTTGTATCTGATTTATCAGTGATAAAAAAACATGTTTTCCACAGTTTCAACCTGACCTAGTGGATTTGGCTTCAGAGCCTGGCTGCATGCACACAGATCCCAGTTGGATGCTAATTGGCTTGTCTGAACTCTGACATGGTGTGTTTTGCTGCCTGATGTCAAGGCGCCTTTGAATTATACACGCCATAAACTAGATCAAAATAGATTATGGATAAGAAAAGATATGAATGTGCAGAGCTGAATCTGGGATGGTTTTACTAAATTTGATACACTTTACACTATTTGTTGAAGTTGTGTTTAGTGAATACACCAGTATTGATAGCATCCATATTATCTACGGTATTCATTGGTTTTCACTAGTGTGTTCTGGTGAACTCACCACCTTAATTGGATTTGGTCCACAGAGAAGCCGCCTATTTAACTGCATGAATTCGATCAGTATGACTATTAAAATACATCCCATTACCATCCTAGTCTCTATAATGTCCTCTGGTACAGTTGAGCCTGTCTTCCTAATGAGACATCAGTCTGTTATAGTCTTAGAAAGACCAGGACTCCCTGCTGTTAAACATCTCTGGTGGCACTGACTTTAGGGGCTGGCTGCTTTGACTGTGATAATACCATTTTATGAATATTAAAGACCCCAAAATACCCCATAAAACCCCATGAAGTAAGAAAAAGAAAATTTTTGAGTTGTTCAGTGATACATACAGAATAGTCATAAGACACTCAAAGGAGTTTATACTGGTCCTGAAGATTCACAGTTTCTCAGGGGAAAAAAACTGACTAGGACATATTTTACTGTGGTATGAAATTAGTATAGAGATTTTTTGTATTGAGCACTGACTGTATAATACACTGTAGTGGACTTCAAATTCTTGTTTAGTGTTTGTGTAATTGGTCTCACTACCAGAGGGGGAGACAAAGATTCCGCACTGCAGGATTAAGGAACAGCTACACGTGTTTGGAGGAAAACCATTCCTGAACTGACCTTAATAAGTTTAAGTTTGTGAGTTTAATCTTCAGCTTTTACATATTGTGAAGTGTTGTACTTCACAAGAGAACAGAACTGCTACTGTGAGGCAGCACAGAGCAGGTATTTTAGCCCATATGTAGTTTTTTTTTTTTTTTGCAGGTCCTGTGAAATGTCTTTGAGAGACTAAAATGGTTTGAAGTGTTTCTTCTCTGACAAGATTTACTGGGAAATGCATAGTTTGATGAGCTGTGATATATTTTTCACCTTACAGCAACATCAAGAGGAACTTGATTTTAGAGTTCAAAAGATAGCTACAGAGGATCGCTTGGAGGAGGATAACATACTGAGTGTTAGAGCCTTTGGAAGTGGAGAGAATATATAATAGTGTCTGCAATGTTGTTTAAAATATGACAACCAAATCCACTCCAACATGCTCCTAATGTTTACTTTTTACTTTTACTTTACTAGATCTGCAGCTTTTATATAAACAGAGTTTGGTCGTGTAGCCCCCATAATTTATAATTACATGTTATTAGATTTAATTCTGTGTCCACCCCCAGTACAGGGTGAATCATGGTGATTTTTTAGTCAGTTGACAGGATGAGATTAGTGAATTTAATATAAACACACACAAATGCATTTTGGACCAATTTTTGACAATAGACAGCAGATTAACACACCCAGGGGAAAACCTGTTTAGTTGGGAATAAAATGCATTAATAGCTATTTTTAGGTTGTCAGGCAATTAACAATAATAATCAAACCCATTTGTTCTCCGTTGTGGTCATCAAGATGCTGCTGATGGTTTTCATTTTAGTCATCAAATCAAAGGCTTTTGTAAAGTTGGACAACCAGCAGTCTTAGCAGTTTGGTTCTTCAGGATCAGGATTAACTCAGTGGTCCTCATCTGGATGCTATCAAAGCCAAGAGTGTGCATATTTTTATTCCAACCAAACACTACACCAGCTGATTTCACTGATTAGGTCTCCCGTCTCAAGCTTGAGTTGAACAAATCAGCGAAGTCAGCTGCCATAATGTGTGTGTGTGTGTGTGTGTGTGTGTGTGTGTGTGTGTGTGTGTGTGTGTGTGCGTGTGTGTGTGTGGGTGCGCGTGTGTGCGTGTGTTCTTTGTCTAGCAGAAAAGGTCACATTGCTCTTGTCATGATCACTCTGAAGGGGTTGTGTGCTTAATGGCCTTCGTCAGCATGGCCTTACATCAGTGTTAGGGAATAACATTACAGTACTATCACAAGTCAATGCATTACCCACAGTAACTGTGGTAAATACACTGTTGTATTACATACACTCGTATAATATGTAAACACAGTTATGATGAAACGCAATTATAAAAAATATCTATAAAAAAACATTATTTCTGTGTAACATACCTTGAAAAAGTAAAGTCGTTTTTCAAAACTGCAGATATTAATCATAGTCATAGTCATAGTCTATTCATTTATTCCATTATGAAGTGCTTTTAGTTTAAAAATTGTTGACCTTTGGCAGAATATGGTGGGTTATTTGCAGTGGAATTCTTACTCTACTTATTCTGAGGTTCTCACACAATGAAGAACAAAGACAACCTCAGCTACTATTACCCATCACCGACTCCTGCATGAATATGGCTAAAGAAACTCAAATCTTTTCAGTTATGGGCACATTGAAGGTCCATCACAATGGGACATTTTTACAGCAAGAAAATGCTTCCCTGCTGAGTGAGGGGGTTGAGCTGAAGCCGTATTATACCAAAGTTGTCCTTGATAAGATGAGCAGCACAAATCTTGCTGTATTGTAAGTCAGGCTCATCCAGTATATACACCGTAGAGAAACAACAGTCCTTTGAAAAATAATGTAATCCTTTATTCTATATTTGGCAGCCAAATAGTCTGCAGCACACCTCTGGGGACTGCTCAGCAGGAGATGAGTAGATTGGCTGATGGATGCAAGCAGTTGGGGCGTGCCTAATGTTACCCTTTTCGACTCAGGCATCCCACCACCTGCACCCCCCGCCCCCCCTTTAAACCCTCCAGAGCAGAAGAACGAAACCTTCTTGTGTGTCTTGTGTCATCTGACATGATTAGGAGCTTAATGAGCCAAGAGATATGCATCTCTGCACTCAAGACCACTTCATAAAGCAACTGTAGCTGTTTGTTTTCATCGGATCTGACATTAGATGACTCAAATTAACAAATAACTACTAAGGATAGCAAACTGGTGTCCAAATTTCCTAATTCACTTGTTAAATCGAACCTGCAATACTTGTAGTAAGTTACCAATTATGATAAATGTATTGGGAATTTATTGTATTGTACAGAATATTTGTCATACTGTCTTACTTTTTGTATGTATGCCTGTCTGCAATTCTATATATGTCTATAAAAAGTGTGAACAGGTCACCCTGAAAAGTCAAAGCTTGAGATAGAAGGATGTCTTTGTATGTGTGTGTCGACGCCACTGTCCACACGTTACTCCGACCACCTAATCCCTCTCTGTGAGCGTAAGGCCACAGATGCCGGTGCTCCGGTGGCTGGTCGCCTGTGACACTGGCAGCAATATTGCAGCTGACAGACCCCACTAGGTGATCAGCACGTCATCTAGCAGTCCCTATCAATCACTCCCCGGGTACCACTGCTGCGGCGGAGGCTACTTCCACCGGGGCGACAGAGGAGCGGGACTGAGCCCATCTGGGTTTCACACTAATAGTGACTAATAGATAAACAGCTACTGCGGAGAAAGGGTTGACTGTGTGCATCATGTTTGCAGTTCGTTTCTCTCTTATGCGACGTGGCAACTAGCAAACCTTGGGGTCAGGATTTTGGGGAAGGGCAGATTAATATCGACTAATGAGAAACATTAACTGGGGCTTTGGATGAGAGGCTCCTGCTGCTTTACAGGTGCTTATCTGCTGGCTGCTGCAGCCAGCCAGAATAGCTGGTGTGTGCAGTGCAGTTTTCTTGTTGTTGTTTTGTTTTTCTGTGAATATCAAGGATAAGAAATATGACTTGGATATGAAGGAATAGACCAAGGACTTTTCATCCCATTCACATTTGCGCAAAGTTATTTTCTTACAAAGCCTTGGACTAAGGTCATTGTGCCCACAGCCATATGAAGCTTTCAAACTAAATTGAGTTAATGTCAGTGATTAAATTTTCATGTGCCAAACATTTCTTCCGAATCCAGTTTTCATCCCACTTTTAGCCACCTTCAGCTCAGTTTAAATGCTTTTACTCACTGTTTCCAGGCCTGACTTCCTTTCCTCTTCCATAAGGGATGCAATGTGCAATATACACTGTATCTGCTAAACATATTCCTCTATGATTCAAACATGTTTCAGAAGTGGTCATGAATATTAATGTCCAGTCTGATGTCCAGGGGTTGCTTTGGGCTTGTAAAGCCATCTGGTTGCAGCAGTACATAGAGATTACACTAAAGCAGTTTGGTAGGGTGGTGCTCGGGTTGGATTCAGAGGTGAACCTGAGGTCCTCTTGGCAAACACAGAGAGTGCTGGATTGAGGTTGGGGGTCATTGGTATCGCTCAAGCCCTGGAGATAGGCAATA